ATATCGTTTTTTCAGACGAAGCGTCTTTTGAAATTACTGGTAAGGTAAACCGTCATAATTTTAGATATTGGGACAACGAAAATCCTCATTGGATGTTTGAAGCACATACGCAGCGACCTCAAAAATTAAATGTTTGGGCAGGTCTTTATGATAATCAAGTTATTGGGCCTTTTTTTATAAATGGGAATTTGAACTCAGAAACCTACCTGCACCTTCTAACAGACCAAATTGTTCCATCAATACAGGAGATTGTTGGTGATAATTTTGATGATGTTTGGTTCCAGCAAGATGGGGCACCGCCACATTATGGACGCATTGTTCGGAACTATTTAAACGATACTTTCCCTAATCGATGGATAGGTAGAAGAGGAACAATCGAATAGCCACCGAGATCGCCCGACATTGCACCATTTGATTTCTTTCTTTGGGGCTATATAAAAAATAAAGTTTATTTCACTAAACCTCGTAACCTGGATGAGCTTCAACAACGGATCATAGACGAATGTGCTGCAATACCTCCAGAAATGATAAGGAGTGCGACTGACAATTTGTACGTCCGCTTAGCACATTGCCAAACGGTCAATGGGGAACATTTTGAACATCTCTTGTAATCTCAAGCCGAGTTACAAGATGCTTTGCCTTCGGTGGCCGGGACTAACTGAACCTTGCCTTCAGTGGTCGGGTTTGAGACACCTTGCCTTCAGTGGTCGGGTTTGAGACACCTTGCCTTAAGTGGTCGGGTTTGAGACACCTTGCCTTCAGTGGTCGGATTTGAGACACCTTGCCTTCAGTGATCGGGTTCCGAGACGCTTTACTTTCAGTAGACTTCATGATCAGTGAAGTAACGTAAAACGCATAATTTTGAGAACAAGGTCAAGGTTGAAAACGTCATATCAGAACGTAAAATTTTTCAATCTTGACACTTTTAGGTCAAAAGTATGGATTTTCAGTCCTAAAAAAGTCCGGTTTGACCTTAATAATAATCTTAACTCACGACCTTGAGAATAAGGGCAAGGTCACGGCTGAATGTCCCTCGTTGATCTCTACATTCTTATTCTTATGCGTAACATTGCTCCCTAGCACGTGCATTTTCGAAGATATTCGCGTTTTCAGCCTAAAACAAGCTTAGACCTTTATGTGACCTTCAGAGGTCAAATTTGGCAGTGTTCAAGGTCATATCCGAACGTAAAATTTTCCGCTCTTTTCATTTCTGGGGTTAAAAGTATGGAGTCCCATTTAAAAAAATTGACCTGACCTTGAAATGACCTTCAAGGTCAATGTCAAGGTTAAATACAAGATCACCGTCAGATAACCAGGAAAAAATCATAAAAACCCAGTACTTCGCATTTTTTCTAGGACTCATATTTTCCGAGTTATTCTGCTCTTCCGGGACACCCTGTATATATAGTATCAAAAGTCTGGAAACGGTCGAATATTTCATAAATTATGCATTTTAGAAAAAAATATTTCAGACAAAAGTTATTTGGTTCGAGGAGGGACATAAAATAGTGTCATTAGATTGACCTTGAGTGAACGTTCCAAGGTCATACGGAGTTCAAGTTTGCTTTTTTTAAATGGAACTCCTTATTTTTCATTGCATATTCTTATAGCTCATTTCGAGAGCTTTCCAAAACACTATAAATAAGTTATGTTTTATCGAGTATTTTCCGAGTTATGGGGCTTGAAAGTTACAATACCGCCGGCATTGGCCAAGGTGTACGCGTGGAGGTTGCACGATTGGATTTACACCTCTTGTGTATGTGTGTGTATATGTCACAGCAGAGATAAGGACCCCACAGTTCGTCACTCCCGTAGTGTTTAATGACTCCAAACCTTCTCTGCTGTGTGTGTGCGTATGTATGTGCGCGCGTGCGTGCGTGCGTGCGTGCATGTATGTGTGTGTGTGTGTGTGTGTGTGTAGGAGTGTGTAGTTTAGTTGAGTAAGTGTTCAAATTGACCTCCGTCTGCTGCTTGACAATAACCTAGCCGTAGATAAAAATTATTTAAAACATTTCGTCTCATCTCTGCCGAGATAAGATCGACTTGGTGTATTATATGTTCCCTAAGGTCCGCAAGATTGGCAAGTTTTGTTTCATATATATTGTTTTTAAGATATCCCCAAAAAAAATAATCGACAAGAGAAAGATCTGGTAATCTAGCAGGCTCTATTTAACCACGTCTTCCTATCCATCGATTTCGAAAAGTTTTATCCAAAAATTGCCGTACTACTAATGCATAGTGTAGGCCTGCACCATCTTGTTGGAACCACAAATATTTTCTATCTTCCCATCAAACATATTTTCAAGAGCGGATATGATTTCATTTTGCAATAACTCCTGATAGATCGCCGCGTTCAAATTCTTATTAATGAAGAATGGTCCGATAATACCACGTTCGCAAAAACCCGCCCAAATGTTAAGTTTTTGGGAATATTGCGTGCGGATATCCAGTAAGCATTTTCATCATTTCAGTAAGGATTTTCATCATTCCAATATCGACAATTATGCCGATTTACCGCTCCATTCAATTCAAAAGAAGCTCCGTCGTAAAAAATTATATGATCGAAAAAGTTATTATTATCATCGTATCGATACGTCATTTCGTCGCAGAATTCATTTCTTCGATCAAAATCATCTTCCGATAGCTCCTAAGTGATTTTAATTTGGAAAGGATGCAATTTCTCTTTCACTAAAATACGATAAATGGACATTATACTAATCTCATGCGCCTGTGCTGCCTTCCTCAAAGTAGAATGAGGATTTTCGACGAATATTTGCATCACTTCGAAATTCTTATCTAAGTTTGTCGCTAATTTTGGTCTGCCAGTGCGTTGTCGATCTTTGACGGATCCTGTTTCATCAAATCGTTTGACCGTTTTCTGTACTGTAGACTTCGAAATCGGTTCACGATCTGAATAAGTATTGTTAAATAAAGCAGCTACTTGTTCATAGAATCTAACGCGGTCACCATATTCTCGCATTATCAGTAAAGTAATTCTTTCTCTTACAGACAATACCATTCTGAATGCCACTGAAATTTCACTCAGTTGCTTGATAGTGTGTTGTAATACGAAGAGCTGAATGTATCCAGGATAGGAAAACATTCGACTACAGGTCAAATCAGAACGATTAATGTATCAAGACTTTTATTGGAAAAGAACTATGAAAAGTATAATAATTTTAATATTTGAAGCTTCTTCCTAGTCCGCATTCATTAAATTTTCTGTCCATTCTTTTCAGAAAGAATTAATGCGAATGATGCAAGGATATGGTGACCATCCTTTTTTTAGATCCTTTGAACAAGTAGCTGCCTATTTCTGCTGTGACACACACACACACACACACACGTGCGCGCGCGCGCGCCCATGCACACACACACACACGACACACACACACGCGCGCACATACACACATGCGCACGCACGCGCGCACACACATACGCACACACACAGCAGAGAGGGTTTAGAGTCATTAAATACTACGGGAGTGACGAACTTTGGGGTCCTTATCTCTGCTGTGACATACACACACTCATGCACAAGAGGTGTAAATCCGATCGTGCAACCTCCACGCGATACACCTTGGCCAATGCCGACGGTACTTTCAAGCCCCATAACTCGAAAAATACTCGATAAAACATAACTGATTTATAATGTTTTGGAAAGCTCTCGAAATGAGCTATAAGAATATGCAATGAAAAATAGGGAGTTCCATTTAAAAAAAGCAAACTTGAACTCCGTATGACCTTGGAACGTTCACTCAAGGTCAATCCAATGACACCGTCTTATGTCCCCCTCGAACCAAATAACTTTTGTCTGAAACATTTCTTTCTAAAATGCATAGTTTATGAAATATTCGACCGTTTCCAGACTTTTGGCACATTTTATATATCTTAAGAAAATATTTCCCTATCATTCTATAAATATCTTCAATTTGATCGTTAATCCTCTCTCTAAATTATGTAGTTAATACTAAATTATGTAGATTATACTAAATTGTGTAGATACTTCTCTCTTTTTGTAAATCTTGCAATTTAAACATCTGAACAAACCCCCTACGTCTTGCAGTTGACCATAACGGAGTCGTCCGACTCCTAAAAACATTTCTATAACATCAATTTATATTTCCTTTCAAATTTTGTTTAAAATAATTTTGTTTAAAAATAATATTCATGGAGATGAAAATCATAATGCTTTATCTTATATGTCAAGGTCCAGATCATCAGCGAGGTGTGTCCCTTAATATAAATACATAAAAAATCTATAATTATCTAAAAAATTAATTTAATATTCGAGTCGCCAAATATCCTCTTAGAATGCTTGTTTTGATATAAAAAGAGCCTATTTACAAAGTTTGAGCTAAATCGGAATACGGACATTTTCGGAAGTTTCGCTGCATTTTTATCAATTTTAATTCATTCTACGTTCCTACGAGTAATAGTACAATTATTCTGGGATATCCTATAAGTACGTTGCTCATAAGTTATTCTTTTCATTTAACTTTTTTTATTAATATATTTTTAATAAATAATACAATGACTAAAACTTTTTTAAGTTTACTCAGGAGGATGATCTTTATAACATGTCAAGATCATCGAAACTGTTTCCACTTAACTATCAAATAATTATCAATTACTAGAAGAAAGAAACAACGTGTCAATTACTTGCTGAACTGAATCGATTTCTTTTCTATTTTTGATAATAATTGCTCTTAATATAAGTTCTTATAAGTATTTTTTGTTATTCCTTTGACCAAATTGTCTCTCAAGTACATGTAAAATCTAAATAAGCAAAATATTTAGCTTGTATTCAATTGTCCCCATTAAAAAGAACTACAAAAAACAAAGGAATATCTGTTTAATTCCCTATTATAACTATTATATTAACTATCTATTTAATTCTCTCCTACCAAGATTTTTAATGTTATTATAAATTCATTAACACTAATTATTAAAGGAGGAAAAAAATTGTAAAGAAACAGAAAAAAAGAAAAAGGACTTACTGCTTTCTCCATCTGTCAATGCACCAGAATCTTCTTCACTTCTTTTGTTTTTTTCCACTATAAAAAAGAAAACATCAATTTTACAAATTACAAAATTTATAATCACAGATTAATATTACCTTTTAGGTATTACACGTTACTAGAGATGTGCGAACTATTCGAATTCGAATCGAATCGAATCCAATGTAATTCGATTCGATTCAAATCCGAATCCCTATAATTGGGATCCGAATAATTCGAATAGGAATCAAATACATTATCATTTGCATGCATCAGTTATAAAACGGGCCATCTGGGCCTGTATGTCTGAACTTTTAACTTGTAATTAACTTAACTTATAATTAATAATTTAATTATAAATTATTTTAAATATCTAAATATATATTTTACTTTAAGATAATATTACAATATCAATATTGCCTTTCATATTAAAATCTTCCATCATTATTTGCATGTTTAACAGTCATGTTAAATTTTTTAATGATCGATTCGATTTCATTCAATTCGATTTAAATTCGAATTTAAAAAATGAGATTCGATTCGATTCGACATAAAAATTCTTGATTCACATGTTACGTCCTGTGGACTCCGCATACCCTAAATTCGTTATCCAGTAAGGCAAATTAAATTTTATATTATACGACTAAATGTTCATGTTCCGCGACCCTCCGAGAACAGTGACGTCACACACACAGATATCTCTTTTTTTCTCTCTGTTTTAATCACCGGAGTTTCTCTATTTCCGTCAGAAAGATCCGCTGAGTTATTTTAGCCATATATCTCCTCTCCAAATAACCTTGAATAACTTCCTGTTCGGAGCAACAATTTTCTTTGAAGACGGACCGACCAGATAATCTTTCATGCTGTTACATGATATTACTAGCCTTTGATCTTCGGAAACTCATGCGTTTCCCACGTTATTCATAAATTTTTATTGCGCGCAATCTCTGACCAACCCTAGCGGAACCTTGAAGTCTTTTATTGCCATAGATACCCGATCTTTTACCATATTTATCTCAGGCCTCCCTAAAACCCCACTTCCGAAGAGTTTTGCAACAAAATCCTATACCCATATTTGGACATAAACTTTAGAACCCTGATGCAACTTCCAAAACCCCACCCTCTCGACCGAGGTGACGTTTTGAGAAAAATGAAAAAGCTATGCCTTCTACTTCTCTTCTCAACCGACCCGCAGCCAGGACAGAGTCTTCTCTTCAACACCCCTTCAGGGTCTATTAATAATCTCTACTAGTAACTCTACTAATAACAAGTCTACTAGTGGCTTAGACAGATCAGAGTTTCGCCAATTGTTAATTATTCCGTGCAACGACCTCGTGCATTTTTGGACCATCGTGAGCAGTCCAGTGGAGACCAGCTTCCTAGGTTGGCGCAAACTTAGGTCATCCATCCTCACTGACACGCAGTAATTACACTCTTCATTTTCAACAAATAGCTTAGATCCAGCAGTAAATTATTTATACTTTCTTTTGCCCGAGTGACCCCTGTCTTTTCATTTTCTTCTTTTCTTCTCTCTCTTTTCTTTTTCTTTCCTTTGCTTCCCTTTTTCTAGTCCCTTGGCATTCCGCCTTAATTGTTAAATCAGGTGCCAGTGGCCCAATTTTTTCGATCACAGTCGGACATAACGAACACGGAATTTTGCTCGTACCGCGATTGTTTATACATATATATATACGTACATATTTATAAATCTTACAAATGCTCTTTCATTGTGAACTTCCGCTAAATCATCAATAAAACAAGTTATTTGTAATTGTAAACCAATCACGTTTTCCAACTAATTATTCTACACAAAACATTCTCCTTTTCCTCAACTGTCGCTCACGGTCCTATCCCAGGTAAAAGAATTCAGTTCCTTGACCTAAATAAAGGACCACCGACGTACGTCCGCGCCAGATAAAGGGGTCATTCCGATCCTTGATGTGCACTGCAAACTTGCGAGTACGTCGGAGCTTATGAAAGTAAGCGTCAAGTTGCGTTCCTCCTCCAGGACGTAACACACACATCTCTACATGTTACTATAGCCACTTCAAATTAAACGATTGTATAAAATAACGCTAGTATAATAATAATATATTTTGTTGAGAATCACTCCAGTAAGCATTATTCACGCTGCTAATACCCAGTGCTCATATAATAATAAAGTTGTGCAATCAATTCAGCAAAAAAATTAATATTTCTCAATTCTCAGAAAACTTATTCTTCTTTGAAAAAAATTCTTATATAATAAAATATAAATATTCAAAATTCTACAAAACAAAATAGAATTGAAGGTAACAAGAGGAACTGCCACAATTGTCCAATACTGATTTTTGAATTCTCCTTAAAATATATTATCAAACAGAAAAAATCTAATTTAGATCTTAGAAATATATACAAATCTAAAATAAAATATATTTTTCTACATAACTATATTAAGTTTACAAAAAAATAACTTTTCAAAGTTAATTTGACATTATTTTTGAGCAAATATTGTCGAAACTATGAAATATATATAAAAATATCTTAGATAAAAATTTTATACGTAATTAATACGCTTCATAACTGCATAAAAATTTTACATTTTACAAAATACTCCCAACTTTAACCCATCACTTTCGCACATAAATTTAAAAATTTGTATAACAACAAAAATAAAAAAAGAAAACATGTACTTTTTATATCTCGGAAACTATTTCATCGATTTTAAAGATTTAGATTTTAAATTATATACATCAGAAAGACCTCTAAACTGAAATGAATAGTCTCCCAACCTTGCTTGGCTTGTGTGAGTGAGACACGAATTAATTACAAAATTTTAATCTATCTATGGTTTTGAAAACATTTATTTATCTGAATTAACAAATTATTCCTAATATTTGTTAACATTTTGGAAGTAATTGTAATATAAGCGTCACATTCTTTGCTTTACATTCTCTTCCACTGTCGTCGGTTCAAACATAACTTTTTTCTTCAAGAGAAACATAGACTAAGATTTAAAGATCTAAGAGAAACATTAAGATTTAAATTAGATTTTTTCTGTTTGATAACATTTTAAGGAGCATTAAAAAATCGGTATTGGGTAATTATAGCAATCCCCCTTCTTACCTTCAATTTTGTTTTGTTTTGTAAAATTTTGAATTTTTATTTATTTTTTATTATATAAGAATTTTTTTCAGAGAATAAGTTTTCTGAGAATTGAAAAATATTAATTTTTTTTGCTGTAGCTGAATTGATTGTACAACTCTATTATTATACAAGCACTGGATATTAGCAGCGTGAATAACGCTTATTGGAGTGACTCTCAATAAATAAATAAATATTGCCATATTATATATTTATTAACTTTAATTCACTATATTTATAAAACTGTATTTTCTAAATTAAAAAATGTCATATGCAATTTTTCGATCGAATAATAATATTCGGGAAAGACTACTGCACTGCGATAATTCTTTTGTCATTCATCTAACACTAATCACATATTCACTTTTTCTTTTGAATCAAATATAGCCATGATTTTCACGATGTTACTGCTTAAATAGTGACTTCAGATTAAGATGATTTTCACGAATAATTGAATTGGACCTAACCATTGTACAGTATAATAGTATTTTTTTTTTTTTAAGAAAAAAGTTATATTTGAGTCGCCGACAACTAAAGAGAATGTAAAACGAAGAATGCGACGCTTGCATTTCAGTGACTCCCGAAATATTATCAAATATTAGGAATAATTTTTTTTAAATCGAATAAATAAATGTTTACAAATCCATGTTAGATACTTTTGAACATTTAATATATTGAACAAATCAAGACAGAGTGTGATAATTTCATGATGATTTTGATTTCATGTAATTATTCACAAACGCTTCTCCTAGCTATAAGTCAAAATTTTATACCGTCATGTTTTAAAATAGAAACATCTGACGAAAAATTTCGAATAAAACTAAGTTGTTTCTTTTTTTAATATTAGAATGTTGAATTAGTTCTGGTCTTATTTTGTCAATTTGGTTATCTTTATTTTGAAGAAATAGTTAAATTTGCATCAATCAAAATATTTTCCGTCATTAACTGTAATTTTTTGCTTTTTTTTGTGGCAACATAGCGATTTCGCGACGATAGAACGATCTGTCGTTCGAAGCAATCCAATCAGACACCTATTTTTACATATCCTCGTAATTATTGAAATGTGTATCTGCCAAAGCGTGTTGCATCAGAATAGATCAGAATAGATAGTAATCAGATGATGCTAGGTCTGGAGAGTACACTGGATGCGGAAGGATTTCCCATTCGAACTCTAACAATGTTTGTTTAACGATTAAACAACAAGTGGACGAGCATTATCGTGCAAAAGAATCATTTTGGGTCTATTTCTGACCTTTTTTACATCAATTTATCATTCAATTTGTTTAATTGTTGCTGGTTTCGCTCGTCCGTAACTATTTCATTCGGTTTTAGAAGCTCATAGTATATCACATCTTCCATATCCTACCAAATACAGAGTATTGCTTTGTGACCGTGAATGTTCCGTTTTGGTACCGACCTTTTGGTCTCGATAATTGATGGTCCTAGATCAATCTATGATTTTTTTCACTTTGGATTATCAAAATAAATCCATTCTTCATCTCCAGTTACAATTCGTCACAAAAAAAACTGTTTTTTCCTGTTTGGCAAGCAAAGACATGGCGATATTCAGACGATTTATAATGGCACTTTTATTTAATTCACGTGGAATCCATTTGCCTTCCTTTTGAATTTTTCCCATGACGTGTAGGCATTTAGAAATTGTTGATTTATCGACGTTGAGTTGTTCAGCTAATTATTTTTCCATTTGAGCGGTATTTTCGCTCAATAATGCTTACAAGTTAGAATCTTTGAATTTTTCTAGTTGACCAGTACTTTTAAATCGTCTAAAATGTACAGTTGGGATACGATGGAGCTTGATCACCATAAGTTGTAACAAACATTTCGTGAGTTTCAGTTACCAATTTTTTCAAATCAAACAAAAAAATAATGAATGTCGAAAATGCAATTTTGTACGACCCATTTTAGACACGTATAAACAATGAAACTATCAGTAACAATAGCGCGCAAACTGTCAACCGTCATAGAGAAATGTCAAATCTTTCAGAGCCATATTTTAACATTCATATTTTAATATACTAACTACTAACTTTACTAAAGCCATTTATTGCTAGGGACCAGCACTAATTCAACCTCCTAATAGATCAATGACTTTGATAACATTTCAAAATTGAAGTCATTATAGAAGGATATGTTAATATACACAGAAAATATAAAAAATGCTTGAAAAGTTGTTTAACTTTTGAGTTGCAAAAAATTCTTCTGATATAATACTTCTTTATCTAAAAGGAATCTATTTCAAAATTTAATCTAAATCGAAACACACATAAACATTTTTGGAAATTTTAACTCGTATAAAATTTATATATCAAGAGCTTAATAAAATGTATACAATTGCCGAGAATTAATTAAATTTTGCATAATACGATACGTATATTGAAATTTGAACTTACGATGCAACATATGGTTCTGCGAATGATGATGATGATGAGATGAGGGAGGTTTCCTCTCAGGTCGAATGCGCTCCATCAACTTACTGATTCTATCATTGGTTCTTTCCTTCCTCATCAATGGACCCGGGCAATTTTCCTCTACTACACGAACACATTGTCGATGTACGCTGAGAGAACAATCTGCCAATTAATTAGCAAAATAATGTAGCCTTATTATTATCGTATATGTTACATGGTATTGTATTGTAACATCAAATTGTATATCACGGTTTTGCAACAACTTTACAATAGTTAATCTAACAAGAGGATAATTAACTTTGACACTCTGGCTTTGGTTTATTTTTAAAAATATTATAGTATGATTTCCTTCCTCTAATAAAGCCTAACTCATGCCAATGCGCAATGGTTTACGAAAAATTGTAATTTAAAGCATTCTATAATTAAAAATAATATATTACTTATTATCTGATTTTAAATAATTTTCATGTACAATCTCTTGTACAATATTTGTATGATTTTTTTGTACCAGATTAAGATTAATTATAATATTAGGAGCGCAAAAAAGTTCTGAGCCTTTTTGTGCAAAATTAAAAAACATTGTTTATTTAAAAACAAACAAAACTATATTAATCAACGAAATATTCCCCGTTTGCATTGATGACCTTTTGCCATCTTTCGGGCAGCTTGCGAATTCCCTGATGGTAGAAGCTCATCGGCTTCGAGGCGATAAAGTCATCAATGCATTTTCGTATCTCTTCAAGTGTCACAAAATGTGTATCAGCCAAGAAATGCTGCAGAGACCGGAATAGGTAGTAATCGGAAGGCGCCCTGTCTGGGCTATACGCCGCGTGCGGGAGAAGTTCCCAGCCTAACGCAAAGATATGGTCCTGAGTCACTTTCGCAACATGCGATCGGGCATTGTCATGAAGCAGTATCACTTTACGACGTCTTTTGCCAGTAAATGGCCTCTTTTCTTCAAACGCATCGCTCAAATTGCTCAATTGTTGCTGATAGCGATCTGCCGTTACTGTTTCATCTGGCTGTAACAACTCGTAATACAATACACCTTTCCAATCCCACCATATGCAAAGCAAAACCTTCTTGGCGTGGATATTGGTCTTTGGCGTCGATGTCGAAGGTTGACCAGGGTCAACCCATGATTTATTACGCTTCGGATTATCATAAAGTACCCACTTTTCATCACCTGTAATGATTTGGTGCAGAAAATCCTTTTTCCGGAACCTTGAAAGCAAAGTGAGTGCCGTGTCACGCCGTCGATTTTTGTTGTCTTCGGACAGTGTATGCGGAACCCATCTGCCTTCCTTTTGAACTTTTCCCATTGCATGTAAACGTGTGGAAATGGCTTGTCGCGTAACGCCAAGTTGCTCTGCAAGCTCCTTTTCAGTTTGTGCAGAGTTTATATCCAACAATGCTTGCAGTTCGTCCGTTTCAATCTTTTGAGGGCGTCCAGCACGCGATTCATCTTCAAGACTGAAATCTCCTTGGCGAAATTTTTGATACCACCTTTTACACGTAGCATAACTTACAGCGTTCTCTCCATATGCAACACAGATCATTTCAGTGGCTTCAGCAGCATTTTTCTTCAGATGAAACGCGAAGTGGGTGGAAAATCGAATATGCTCTTTTGTTATTACCATCGTGAACACTGCTGATTTTAAGGTTATGTTCATCAAACACCAAATCGCACGATGTTTCGAAAGACCAAATGTCACTGCTTTAAAACCGCAAGAGGGCGGGAAAATTAATGCAATTTAAATTGTGGTTTCAGTAGTATGAAATCTAGGGCTCAGAACTTTTTTGCGCTCCTAATATATTAATTATAATTATAATATATTTAATATACTTTCAATTAATAATAAAAAAGTAAATATTTGCAAATTTTTTTATTTTATGCATAGATTATATATGCAGGGTGTCCCATAATTGTAACACACCAACTCCATACGGGCGTAGAGCTAGCGAGAGGAGATGCCACCACTGTCCGGCGCTTGAGGACACAGTGCAGCACACCTTGGCAGAATGCCAGACGTGGGCTGACCAGCGCCGTATCCTCGCCCGAGCAGTGGGGTGCCGGGAAGAAGGGGAAACCCTCTCGCTCCCGCGCTTGCTCAAATCAATGTGCGGGAGCGAGGAGGTATGGGGAGCGGCGGCCTCCTTTTGCCGGGACGTAATGTCCCGCAAGTGGGAGCATCGTCCACCTCGTCACAATCCGCGACGGAAGAAGCGGCGCTCCCCAGAGGGGGGGGGGGGAAGTGGGCCCGAGGTGGCGCCGGCCGAGGAGGAGAGGCCACCGGCTTTTGCTGGAGGCCGTCTTCTCGGCCGCCTCGAGCCTAACTTCGACGCAGCAGTGGGGGATGAGTGAGAAGGAATGAACCCTCTCATCCACCAGTGGCGTCGGTAATGGTAGGGTAAAAGGGGAGTGGGGCCCAATTGGGGCTGGGCCTTACTCCCCTGCCCCTTCCCTACATATCCAGTAGGTAGGGGGGAAAGGGGGCAAGGAGGGAGGGCAGGTATCCCCTCTCTCCTAAATTAAACTGGAAGGCCAACCTGGTCGGATAACCGGCCAGGACACCGCGTCCTAAACTCCTAGGGAGGGGCGCGGTATTTGGGCGGGGGCTCCAGGAGAACCCTGGGGCCGGGGTGTCGGGGAGGGAATGCAGGCGTAGTTCCCCTGACTCCCCCACTTCGGTCCGAGCGGTAGTTTTAGTCGATAAGAGTCTGACATAACCGACCCCCCTAAGGGTCGGGGGTATCCATGATAGATTTCCCCTGCGTTAACAAAAAAAAAAAGCTAGCGAGAGGAACAAAAAAGTCCTTCCATTTAGCAATATCTCGTTTAATTTTTTAGTAATAACCGCGTGAAGTTTGGCGTTTGTCTCGCCTATCGCGACCTATAGACGGTCTGCGGCGAGTTGTGTGCGTCGAGGCTGAGCGGTAACGCGGCTTGCACTGACCATCGCGCGGCGTCAAAGCGCCAAGACGCCATCGCATTACAATTATGGGACACCTTGTATATTTCTAAAAAAAATATCTTAAGCAAAAACGTTCTTATATATTTTACGTACCACTACACAAATATCCCTGAGGACCGATGCCACCGATGATAAGTTGGCAGTGATTACAATATGTTATCGTAAAATATTGATGTGCCACAAAATGATGTCCTCTGATAGTCATCTTGCGTGTTTTACCAGTAAGCAAACGTGCTTTGATGTTGGACTTATCTTTCGCGACGAAAGTGGGTACTCGATCAGCCCACACTGGTCGTAATTGGAAGATCTTTATCAATATTGTAGCTAGACCAGCCGCTGTTGTGAACAAACGAAGATCTACATGCTCCTTTTCTATATCTTCTCTGAAAATTTACAATTTTATATTTATATATGTAACAGTATTATTCAACATAACGATCTTTTACATAAAAGTAACACGTACAATGTATATGTGCGCACGCGCACACGTTGTAAACCATATTTACTTAATATTAAATTATTATATGAAGTGTTTCGGTTAGATATGAGAGATATGTTGCAAAAAAGAACATGTTTATTTTAAAAACATGTTTATTTTAAAGATATTAAATTATCTTTTATTTGAAATATTTTCCATCGCTAGCTATAACTTTTTCCCACTTTTCTGGCAATAAGTGAATTCCGCGATAAAAAAGCAATATATTCATTTTTTGAAATAATCTATTTATCGAGCCACTTTTTTATTTCTTCATATGCTTTTAAGTGCTGATCAACAAGGCCATGTTGCATCGATCGAAATAAATGATAATCTAATAGAGCACAGTCTAGGATGAATATGCGGCATGTGGTAAAACTCCCTATTGAAGCACTGATAACGGGTCTTCAACTATGTTTGTAATGAATGATCGAACGTTGTTAAAATCACTTTGGGTTTTCATTGAGCTGTTGGACATTTTCATGCCACAAATCAAATCATTTAATTGTTGATAACGTTCAACAGCGACTATTTGATTCGGTTTCAGCGGTTCATACGTAATATACGACGCGTTTCATATCCCACTCTAAATGTATAACAAAATCTTACTTCCGTGGATATTGCATTTTAGAGTCGATATCGATGTTTAACCCAGACCTACTCATTGATGATAATTTTTTACGTTTAGAATTATCATTCATTTTACTGAATTATCATTCAGTAGATTCATTTTTCATCGCGAGTTTTTGATACAAAACGCGACAATTTGATACAAAAACTGCTTCCTTCTGTGATGAGAAAACAAAAGTGCAAATGATTAAACGATTTTGAATAGCTAATTCAGACAATTCATGTGGAACCCATTTGCCTTCTTTTTTAATCTTTCCCATTATGTGTAAATGATCAGAAACACGGTTGATTTAGCAACATCTATCTAATGCTGCAGCTAATTCCTGAAGCGTTTGAGCCGAATTTTCATTCAATAACACCCGCAATTCGCATCTTCAAACTTTTTTGATTGACATAAATATTCTTAGTTTTTAGAATCAAAATCATCATTTTTGAATCGTCAAAACCAGTACTCACATGTTTTAACTGATGGAACAGACTCAGAATAAGTCTCTGAGATAATTCGGTGAATTCCGGCAACCGTTTTTTCGAATCAAAATAGCAAAATAATTAGTGACAAAAAATGTTCTTTTTCGCGTTCCATTTTCAATCGCACTAAAAAGTGTGATTGTGTTTACAAATGTACATGACATGCGTTAAATTATTTGTAGAAATATTTAAACTTAAATGAAATGATGTAACAACTTTCAAAATATTTCTAGTATTAAATTTGTAGCTACAGCTATCTATAATGAACTCTCAAAACTAACCAGTACACCTAATATTTTACAACAACGCAAAATAGCGTGTAATTTGAATTTTGCTTATAAACAAAATTCAACCATAAAAGCATAACTTATTAAATCATGCAATATTTTCTTTTCCAACTATTACTGTAATTATTTCACAATTTTGATTCCTAAGGTAATACATTTTGACATTATTTACAATATACACAGAATGTTTATTTGCAATAAGTAAAAATACTAAGCCAATCAATAGTTTATAGCCACACTGTAGTCTTTAAAATACATTTCCTTAAGAATTCTATAAGTATTTTCCTATTATTGTTTAAATAAAAAACGTGTTTCAGTTCTTTAAAAGTTCATAAATTATTTAAATTTGATTGTCAATGAAATATGTAGTAATCAAAATTATATTCATGTAATGATCAAGTTAATATTTAATTCATCCACTGTTTAAAATTTAATATCAATTATTAATTATTTTAGGTAATTTAACTATCTAATACTGTATAGCAATATGCAAAAATTAAGATATTATTCACTTTATAAGCATGAAATTCATTTTTTTTAATTATATATCATCTAATTTTAAAAAAACTTTCACAGAAATCAAACGTCTTATTTATAGAGTTAATTTTCGAATTATTTTATAACTTATTAAAATTCTACGTTGTTGTAAAAAATCATTGTTAAAGAATTTTCCTATTGTTATGTTGTAAATATATCAAAATAAGCTAAAATAAAATTCAAATCACATTTCTTATCTTGCAAAAAATACGTCTAATTAAAAACAATACATATATATATATATATATATGTGTAACAATTATTTGTTTTATAATATATGGATTATGAACCATATATGTGGTTCATTGATTATCGAATCACTAAAATCCTAGTTCACCATAACAGAAATGACATATCCCCTATCACAAATTATTAATAGCCAATAAACGTTAAATTGCCGTAAATATCACTAATTTTTAAAGATGTATTCAGACGTATTTTATAAAATAAAAAATATAAAAATTTTGTAATAAATTCTATATAAAATATAATCTTACAGGTAAGGTTCCATTTTCGGTAGGAGATACGTTTCAATAATTTTTATTTCGCGTACTTTGTCGGATATACTTTCGTCAAGCGAATTGTCAGTCGGACCAAAGATTGTAGCCAATCCTGCGGTCCGTTTCTGTTGGAAATGCATCAGCTGTTCATTCAATTCTTCCTTAGCTCTAGTACGTGCCTTCCAAAATATCTGTTAAAAAACAATAGACATGTTAAAAACATTAACACAATTATAAATTTCCAAATTTTTAAGTTTTTCTTTTAAGCGAAGTTATGAACGTAATATGAAGTTATATAAAATATAACTGCTTGTAATATAAACACACACATACAACACGCACGCTCGTACGCACAGAGGATGTAAAATTAAAGATATTACAGATTATTATGATTAAAATTGAACGTAATATGAACTTTTTTTTATTAACCATTTGATATCAAATACGATATTATATGTCGAATACGATATCTTTCTTCTAGGTAGAGTCGTTAAAATCACGTTAAGAACACCTCAATTTTTTAATTGCCACATATAATTTTTATTACATATGATGACAGTGTTTCTTGAGGATTAGACAGTTATAAACTGATATACATAGAGAAACAAAAGTTACCAGATTCTTAAAATATATATACAAAATGGTAACATGTTTGTTAAAAAGTTCGTATACATTTTATCGTTAAATGAACCTTAAAAGAAATGTGCTCTAATAAAACAAGTTTCAATAATATCACATCAAACATTTAGCGACGAGCAATATTGTATAGATATAAATTATAATTCATCTTTGATTTTTATCGGTTCAATAATGCATATGTTGTCTGTTTAATTAATAAATTTATTATTAATCTAAAATTTATTAATTTAATTAATAAAAATTTAACAGTCCCAACATTACTAAATGTTGTTTCATATAATGTATAACGTAAACATTATACTTTAAAACTATTATACCATCTAATACGGGTCTCTATACACTTAAAAAGCCCTATGAGACTTTGGTGTCCTATTTGGACATGTATCTGCATACAAAATCGCTGCATCTCTAAAGTTTCGCTGACATTCTCCAAAACTAGAAGCATATCAACAGAATTATCCAAATGTAAGATGATAGAAACAAACTGATATGAACTGTTATAAGTAACATATCCGACATATTACTTATCATTAATCACGCCTGATTTTATGAATAACTCTGAATGATGCTAATTTCGAACATTTATTTTAAGAATTTATTATTAACTTTTATTTTCCTATCATAACAATATGTCATCAGTCTACTCATCAAAAGAACTACAATCGTATATAATAATATATTTTGATAAGTTAACAAAATTAACAGTTAACGAATCAAAATATTTTTTAAGTGACTTTAACAGCATCACTTAGAAATAAACAAACTTCATCATACGATGTTGCTATCGATATTAAATAGTTGAAATATACTGAATACTGATACTGAGTAGTAGAAAACAAAAATTTAATATTTCGTTTAGTTTCGAAAATAATAGCCAGATATCTTTAACTTTATATTTCGTATACTGGGTACATATATTCTCATTTTAATTTAAACAGTCACTTTCTGAAAATTATGAAGTTTTAAAAAGAATGTTTCTTACAAATGCTTTTTACGAAAATGTTAGAACTTTGAGAAAGTCACAAGATGGTGTCATTGGTTTGATATTGGATAGTTGTTTGAAGATTATGTTTGAAGCTCACTTTAAATTTGTTTAATAAAAACCTCCATTTTTCATTGCATAATCTTATAGCTTACCTCGAAACTTTTTCAAAACTTTCAACACTTTTAAAATACGATAATAAAATATTTTTTCATTAGATTTCATTATATACTCTTCGAATTATAAAGCGTTAAGGAAAGTTACAATATTGCCAGTATTAACACTACACTAAGGGTGTATCTCGTAGAAGTTAATTGAATGAATGGAGGTAAGTCAAGAAAATATTGAACAATTTCAGTGAAAAAATAATCTGATATCGCCCTGACAAATGCCAGACAATTCTGTTCTTTAAGAAACTATTCTAGAAAATTGAACTTGCGACCACATGTTAAAACTCTTCTTCGACTTGATTAAAACGACCTGATCATAAAAATTTTGGAGCAATGTACTTTCATCGATGAATACAATGATAATGGCATTATCGGTGCAAATTTCAATTCTATAAGCAAACATATCCCACCTGATTTGACCTCTATGCAATGCCAGTAAATGCCAGCAATATATATAACTTTTAAGTCTTATAACTTCAAAAGTACTTAATGAAAAAATATGTTGTTATAGTGTTTTAAAAAAGTACTCGAGGTGTTATAAAAATAAAAATATACCATAAAAAATGGGGATTTATGTTTAACAATGTTTATGTTTAACAACTTTAAGGTGACTTTCATATAATTTTCAAACTATACAAAATCAAACCAATGGGGCACCATTTTATGTTTTGTTCGAAGTCATAAAACTTTCGTAAGAAACATTTTTTTTTTAACTTGTGATTTCCAGAAATTGACTGTTTAAATTAAAATAAAACACTCTATATATTTTTTTAATATATTTTATTTATTGCAGTATATGTTGCGAATAAATAACAAAATGCATATCTAAACTATTTAATTAAAAAAAGAAAATAAAACGTACCTTTCTCAGAATTTCTTCCTTGTCAGACTCCTTCAAGAGGACATCGTCTATCTCATTTGCGACATTCTCATCTACATTATGGAGACGTAACGGCTAAACAAAAAAACTACCTATTACATCAAATATTTTTTATGTGCACAAGATGACTAAGAAAGCCCTCAACAATATAAAGAATCAAATATCATAAATAAGCATATATAAATTAACCATTTTATAAAGAGATAATTCATGTCTAGAAACAGTGCATTTTGTCATCACAAAAAGACAAAGTTGTATTACAAATATTTCTGAGTTAAACGGTCTATAATATATCAGATTGGCAGTATTTCGTCTGTTTAACAATATAAAAATAAATATTTAAAAGATATGAAAAAAATGAAAAATATTATTATATCACATATGTTTAATTTAATTCTAATTAATCTATATTAGTATAAAATCAGAACATGAAATAAAGACATTCGCATTCACTTTTTTTTATGTTTTACAATTCCAACTATGTCTCAATGCTGTTTATCAAGAGCTCAATTTTAATAAGAAATTGGATATAATTCTTTATATACTTGGTATTGCGATACTATCGCGGCGAATGCGCGGGGATTGATTTTATTTTTCCTATTTTTTATTTTTAAAAGAAGACACAAAACCATATGGCTCAAATAAAGATAGTTAAAAGAGCAATTAACACAGAAGTACTTATAATATAACTTCATTTCTTTTTAATGCCAAAATAGAAAGTTTTTAAATATGAGTTTGTTTTTCAAAAATGTCCAGTTTATCTTCCACTATAAATCTCTATAAATATTATTCGTGTTTTATATGTCGTCCTTACAGATACAGATACATAAAAAATAGATATAAAAAATACTAAATAAAACTAAATAAAAGATACTAAAAGATAAAGGCTCCCGTGACGCTAATCATTCCTTGTGCATGTAAATTGTAGAGGTCAACCTAAGTAAGGAAAGTCTCATACTAGTTACAAATTGGTGCACAGCAAATATGAAATAATCCAAATATGGCCTTTACAAAGTTTTACAGAATTTTATAGAGTTCGTCCATCGCACTGCATAATTATTCACTAAACTCTTATTATTTATATTATTCATTACGTCAAAAATATTTGATATCTGATTTAGGAATTTTTTAGGAAGTACCTATGAATTCAAATCTATAGACAAAATTTTCTGAAAAATTCGAGATGGCAGGCTTAATATGGCGGTTAAAAATGAAAAAACAAATCTATTTTGAAAAAATATAATTTGTTTGGATTTCTTTAGAAAAAAGATTGCATTTTTTACATTTGTTGGTGAAAAAATATTAATAATAGAAAACGATATAGTCAAAAATCCTAAAGTGGAGAAAAATATTATACAGTGTATAGAGCATAAAAAATTTGTATGATTTTTATAAAAAATTCGTGAATACTATATTTTAAAAAATGATAATTTTAACTATCTACCTAAAATATTTGTATAATTAACAATTAATGATTGTACACACTTTTGGTACACCTATTAACCCCTTGATATACAAATAAAACGGAACTTGATGCGTCCGAAAAATACTATTTAATTTCGCTCAACTGAACAGTGATGTGGAAGGTGAGAAAGAGTACATTTTATTTTGAAATTTTTATATAACATTTAATCAGGTTGATACATAATGCTAATGAAGAACAACTAAATAACATTAAAAAATAATAATTTAATAGTTCTGTAAAGTATGAAATATTTCGAAACATTTTATCTTTTTAACTCTTTTTATCTTTACTAAACTCAAATATTGTCTGGGATGACATTTACCGTGCGAGATCCCTGCTATACTGAATACTACTTTCAATGTGCTTCTTCTGATATGTCGACGCTTTTTTTTATTGGAATTGTTGAGAAGGTGGGAGGATGGGACATCTCGAACTATACAGGGTGGGTGATTATAAATTGCCAACCCGAAGTGTGAAGGTAGTCCCATACCGTTTTGCGAGATTCGCAATAATTATCGAGTTATTAATGACAGAAATCTGAGGAGTGGTAGCGCGCCGGCATAGATGATTGGAGAAGCGTTGCAGCTGCTTAGGCCGCAGCGCGGCCCAGTTGATCCAGAAACTGTTGCCGGTGCGCGGCGAGGGGAAAGACAATGCGCTGCTATTCGTTGTTTTATCTCGCCAGACCTATGTCTCACCGCACGCCGCCAAGAGTTGCTGGGTCGAGTGGGCCGCGCTGTGGCCTGAGTAGCTGCAACGCTTCTCCAATCATCTATGTCGGCGCGCTCCCATTCCTCAGATTTCTGTCATTAATAACTCGATAATTATTGCGAATCTCGTAAAACGGTATGGGACTTTCATGTTTATCTTAATCCAATCTACCTTCACATCTCGGGTTGGCAACTTATAATTAACCACCCTGTATAAACAAACGAGAATCGACGCACGAGTGAAGCAACATAGTTTATTTATACAGGGTGTCTCAGAACTTTGGGACACGGGCTCCGTAGGGACATAGAGTTAAGTGAGAGGAACAAAAAAGTCCTCTACCATAATGTGAAAATCGTAATAGTTTTTTAGTAATAACCGTGTAAAGTTTGGCGTTTTCCACGCCCATCGCGGCCTATAGACGCTCCGCGGCAAGCTGTGTGCGTAGGAGCTGAGCAATAACGTGTCTCGCGCTGACTGTCGCGCGGCGTCAAAGCGCCAAGACGCCATCGCGACAGTCAGCGCGAGACACGTTATTGCTCAGCTCCTACGCACACAGCTTGCCGCGGAGCGTCTATAGGCCGCGATGGGCGTGGAAAACGCCAAACTTTACACGGTTATTACTAAAAAACTATTACGGTTTTCACATTATGGTAGAGGACTTTTTTGTTCTTCTCACTTAGCTCTATGTCCCTACGGAGCCCGTGTCCCAAAGTGCTGAGACATCCTGTATACTGCGTCCGCTGAAAACAGCTTTTAACGAGTCAGACTCGTCAAGTCTACAGTGGCACATGAAATGAATAGACGACCCTAACTCGTCATTGTATGTCAAGGGGTTAATGTTCTAGAGATCTTGCAGAAGAAGAAAACCCCATATTTTTTGTTAAAAAGGTCTTGAGAAATTTTAAAAACTGAAAGATAGATGGGACACTCAGCATCCCACCGTATCAAAAGGTTAATTAGTAATTTAAAATTTTATGGTATTCTCCACAAATTATATAGAACTCTTTTGTTTAATTTAATCTGATCTACACACACATGCATACAAACGATGATTATGTTACCATCAAATAAGCTTATACCCAGACAGCACAAAATATTCGGAGAATATTCTCATAAAATGATTTCCATATGTTCAGAGAATATTCAGAAAAGATATTCCTATATGTTTCTGAGAATGTTCGACATGTTATTAGAATATTATTTATGGAATCCTCAGAATGTTTTATATAGCAGCACAGAATATTCGACGAATATTCTCACAAAACAATTCCATATATTCTAAAAATATTCGAAAACATATTCTTATATGTTTCTCAGATTAATTTAAATATTATTACAATATTATTTGTGAAGTCCTCAGAATATTGTAGTAATATGTCAATGTAGGAGATATGAACATTATCCAAGTAGCAGAGTAGTATCAAATAACGTATTAATGATGTGTTAATAACATCTCTAACGTCAATAAAACGTCATTAAAACGTGTTTAAACATCATCTTACTACCTGGATCATCAGAGTTTCAAATTCATCTCGAAATGAGAAATAGCACGAGTGATAAAGACACGTTGCTTTTATATGTCTAAATTCATCAACGTCGATTAGGCTTTGATTTAGATTTCAGTCTTCGTCTCGAAGAATTTAACTTGGATTATCGCTTGGTCAACGTTGGTCAAGTCTTGCCGAACAACCATTGTCCGAACGCACCCGGTACGCGATCACAACCAAATGCACTGTGTTTACATCGGTCCGTGTCATGCATTGTTCTGAGGAAATATAAACGTTTATTTAGTAAGTGGATTTAGTTAGGAAGTTTATTTAGGAAGTGTAAATAACATTCGTCTAAAATTCTTATTAGTATTTTATTAGTTATTTTTATTGGTTGCAAATCAGGTAAGTACAATTTATATGTACATATGATAAATTCGTAAAGTAATTATTTAGAAGACGCATACCGCCTCCGATTTCGTTGAAACTCATCTATCTTATACAGGGTGATTGATTATAAGTTGCCAACCCGAAATGTGAAGGTAGATTGGGTTAAGATAAACATAAAAGTCCCATACCGTTTTGCGAGATTCGCAGTAATTATCGAGTTATTAATGACAGAAATCTGAGGAATGGGAGCGCGTCGACATAGATAATTGGAGAAGCGTTGCAGCTGCTTAGGCCGCAACGCGGCCCAGTTGACCCAGAAACTGTTGCCGGTGCGCGGCGAGGGGAAAGACAATGCGCTGCTATTCGTTGTTTTATCTCGCCGGACCTACGTCTCGCCGCACGCAACCAACAGTTGCTGGGTCGAGTGGGCCGCGCTATGGCCTGAGTAGCTGCAACGCTTCTCCAATCATCTATGTCGGCGCGCTCCCATTCCTCAGATTTCTGTCATTAATAACTCGATAATTATTGCGAATCTCGCAAAACGGTATGGGACTTTTATGTTTATCTTAACCCAATCTACCTTCACATTTCGGGTTGGCAACTTATAATCAACCACCCTGTATATTTTGACGTGTAGAAACCAAAAGTTGAAATCGTCGCTTGGCTCTACAAAGCGAGAAATTAATTGTAAAGTTGATGGCAATTTAGGTTAAGAAATCTGTCACGGAGGTGAGGACCGTCTTGTCTATAATTACCAATGCATCTCTTAGCTTTTCTCATGACAGATAATAAAAAATAAATCTTCGCCTTACTAAAAAGATTAGTCTACAATGTACTAAAAATGGATACAGAAAAGATTAGCAAGATTCCTGCGCAAGAGAGGATGTACCATGAATCTAAAGCAGGAGAATGATAGCATATGCTATTTTATTGTGTAACGAGAGGAATAAGATTCTATATAATAAAACAAAGTCCTACATAATAAAATAGCACATGCTGTCATTCTTCCGCTTCAGATTCAT